AATTCTGAGTTTATATCTTGTAATTCTGAGTTTATATCTTGTAATTCTGAGTTTATATATCACAATTAAAATTTTTGTCTTGTAATTCTGAGTTTATATATCACAATTTTATTTTTTTGTCTTGTAATTCAGTTTATATATCACAATTTTATTTTTTTTCTTGCAATTCTGAGTTTATATCTCACAATTTCATTTATTTTCTTGTATTTCCGAGTTTATACCTCACATTTTTTTCTTGTAATTCTGAGTTTATACCTCACAAATTTTTTTCTTGTAATTCTGAGTTTAGATCTCACAATTGTATTTTATTTTTCTTGTAATTCTGAGTGTATATATATATCACAATTGTATTTATTTTCCCATGCAATTCTGAGTTTATATATCACAATTCTGACTTTTTTTTTCTTGCCATTGATTCAGAATTCAGAATTGCGAGATTAAAGCTTGCAATTGTGGGGGGGAAAGTCAGAATTATGATTTGTGCTCTACATTCCAAGTCCATCTGAAGTCAAATGAAGATTTGTGAAGAACAGATGTTGTTATGCATCGTTATGGCATTTTTTATTCACTGTTGTGAGAGCTGTGTGAAGATTCATTGTGTTTATGTACAAAGTCAGTCAGTCACAGTCAGAGGTTTGGAGTGAATGAAGACCGAGTGATGATTACGGGTGAACTGTCCCTTTAAACAGATACACATGAACTGATTTCTGATTGTGTGGCTCATGGACTGGAATCAGAACCCTGATCCCGTTTCTGCGGGTCTGGAAACACGAGAGCGGCTCCTATCATCCTCCAGGATCAAAGCAGCAATCAGAGCAGAAGAGCAGATGAAAGAAAACATCTCAGACTCCATCTAATACAGCAGAAATAAGACGAGCATCACAGAACAGTCCAGAGACATCGGATCAACATCTGCTCAATGCATATCAAACACACACACACACACACTCACACACTCACACACTCGCACACACGTGTGCTCATAACAACTGACCAACTGCTTTAGTTCCTCCTTTGTAAGTTGCTTTGGATGAAAGAGCCTGCTAAATAAATACACCTTGCAGAATATGCAAAATAAAAATAATATAAAAACAAAATAAGAAGCATCTTAAAAATGGCTTGTTTTTTGTTGTTGTTTTTTTAGTACTGTCCTGAATGCTGTATTTTAAGAAACACTTATATTTCGACTTATATTTCAAAGGGACAATACATGCAATTAATGTGCATATTAAAGTGCATTTCCCACATTTACAGTTTCACTTTAAATACATTTGTTTATGCTTGGTGTTTATAATAAATATTGTTCATGATGAATGCAACTACAATTTCTTTGTTTTATACTTCTGAATACGGTTAAATTTAAAGGATTTGTTGTGAAGTGAGGAACTGAAACACGTTTAAAGTATTTTTATTGTTAGTAAAGGTTTTTTATTTATTTATTCAGTATTTTAGATTATTTCTAAATGTAATAATAAAATGTGACTTTAACTGTTTTTTCGTCTCAACAATTTAGCAATTTTGACCCAGTGCAACTTATAGTCAGTTGTGACTAATTTTCTGGAAAATACGGTAATCTATTTGACATAACAGATGTTTGCATAAAATAATAGCTGAATTTACATAAATGACCCGGTTTAAATGTTTGCATGAGCTTGATTCTTCAGACTGTGATGATGATCCAGACATGAAGAACCAAGAAGATGGAAATGTTTGAACAGGATGATGGAGGTAAATTGTCATTTTGTCTTCAGGAAAACATGTGAATACTTTTAAGTCGCTTCTGAAGGGCAGCAGTGAATGAAATCAGAAGATCTCTGTCTCTCTCTGGATGGAGTTAAAGGCTTCAGCACACACTAATAGGATCAATTTCCATTCTCACTTAAATCTGAAGTCCATTTCTCTGGAACTTAACATTTTCCCACCTATTAGATCCAGAAAGCGCTCAATTTCCCCTTCCTAGCTACATAAAAAGAAAAAAAAAATTATTAGTTAAAATTTATAGCTATTTTGTTAGTAAGTGCATCTGCACAAAAAAATATAAAATAAATTTAATTAAATCAATGAATTAATGAATAAATAAATACATACAGCTGAAAAGGCCATTTTTACTCTGAAGATTTGTTTTTCAAGTGTAACATCCTTTTAAATCTGCAAGGTTTGGAAAACTCTGCAAAAACCTTTGGGTTTTCATTTTTGGATTTACAATAATCAATACATTTAATCAATTTGCTTAAGCCATCTTTAGCAGAATCACTATGCCAGACAACCAGCACTAAACCAGCAAAATCATCCTTCTGAAGAAACTGATCTGCTTCACAAAGTGTTCAAAGAGTCTGAACGTTAGTTTTATATGAAATAACCCTCACTGACCAGCAGCATCTGAGCAGTAAAGCT